GTTCTTTGTTTGTCATAAGGTAGATCTGAGGTATATGCATGACACCGATGCAGTATGGTTGACTAGTCTTCAGTATAGGAGACCAATGTTGGAGGCGTGTTGGCGATGGCGCATATTGCGGAATTTTAACGCTAAATAATCATACTGCACTGAAGAATTCCTCTCGATCCGTGCAATCCACAAATACTCACTGCAACTTGGGATTGTAGGCAAAACACAGAGAAAAAGCATGTGTAGCTAAACGTGTATGGAATCTGCAAAACCCAATATAAGCACTAGCTGCGATTATAAAAGTCAAGGGTCATAGAGGGGCTGACACGGGAGCAGGAGATGGCTGCCCAGAACTTGGTGGTGTGTTGAGAGCTATTTTTGTCACATCTGCTTAGAGTTAGCATACGAAAGGTCAAGCCTCCAGTACATATTGCGTTCGCCCTATTTGCATAGCCTTCGGCCGTGCGTATGTAGTATTGAGGCATGGTTAACAGCTGCTGGTTGTTGATCATGCAGCGGCACATTTCCTGGTAGTAAGTGCACATACATGCATGGAGTTATAGTACTGGAGCTACAGGCAAGATTAGAGCGAAACCATTTATTAATAGTATAACTGTTCAGAGGAAAGTATGCACACAGCACTACGACATGCGCATGCATGTTTGAACAAGTAACATGAATATATTTCGTGCATTGAGGAAGATGCTGAGCTTCCTCATCTCTACCAGAACCAGAAAGGGAAGCCACACGTTTAGTATGTACCTCCATAAATAGATTCTCGTCTTCGCTGAGGACGTCATTGTACATTCCTTGGCAAGCACTTTCGCGCAGCTCGGTGGTTATGTAACCTGCGGGGGGAATGCGGCCTAAAACACCAAGCACATGCTCCTCTCAGTCGCAACAGCCTCAGCGCGCATATCGAAACCAGCCTGCCGAGCCTGTATATGTGATCTATATGTCTTCTATGTGTGCCATATGTGATCTATTCATAGCCAAGAGAGCGTTGATGTTCAGTTCTATTTGTGTTTCAGGCCTTGTCTGCTCAGGATTACTTCTGTACCAAAAAATGGAAACCACTATAAAAACACTCCAAAATCACATACCTAATCTCGCCTGTGAACGCTCCACTAGCTTTCTTGTAGCAATTTTCTGCTGCAACGCCAACATTTTGGGGCATGTTCTGCCTTACATATGACAGGTATATTGCTGGTGGACTCACGACCACATCTGCAAAAACAATAACCGAGTAAATTCTATGGCCTGTAAATCATCAACATAACCATCCTTAAATTGTTTATTTGTTGACGCAGGACTAAATTAATACCTCACGAAGAGGGGTGGGTCCTGCGTGGTAAATAAGACTCCAACAATATACATGCATTGTCTTTTGACCGAATTTTGGCATACCGATTAAAACCTCCATCATAAATGCGGATCATATTGTAACAAGATTGTAAGATATGACCCCTTATACATCCAGGAGCCTGTCTCTAAAACAAAATTAATCACAAGATTATTCTTAACATAAACCTTTTCTAATAGACCAACCCTCTGTACACTGTGTATGGGAAATTCATAACTTTACCATGTTTTAACATAACAGTCTAAGATGCAGTCTAACATGCAGTCTAACATGCAGTCTAACAGTCTAACATGCAGTCTAAGAACAAAAATTAATGTTTAGCCTAATGTCAAGCTTTTAGTCGACCAATTTAATTCCCGACAATGAACCCTAGACCTATAGCAAAGTATGAGAGACGCTAGCAGGCCACAGACTTGTTCATGGAATTGAAGGTCATACACAAAGAATGGGAGCAGCCATTAAAAGTTATTATAGTTGAGTGTGGTTTGGAGAGCAATAGAGTTTTAGTCAATCAAGATCCCAACACAATGCATGGTCATTACCAGTGATAGCATATACTTATTGTAATGTATGTTAATGAATGACTGTATTATTAGTGTTTATGTACTGTGCTATTGCCAATTAAGAAGTTTGCTTGCAATGGTTAATGACATATGGGAATTGGGAAGGTTACCTGCAATATATGTACCAAACCTGCCGTAGTCCTAAATGCTTCAAGACCATTGATATTCGCCGAGTGCGTGTCAGAAAATACTTTGATGTTCTGCCCGATTCCCTTACATAGCATTGTAAAGTGTACTTGGAAAGCAGTATTGAATGACAAATACATTAATTGTTTCTACAGGAATTCTTATTATTATTCCTTTTCTGCTACTTCTTTGTCGCATGTCTTCCCCTTGATGATGATTATAGAAGCAATTTGTAATTTTGCATGATGCTTAAGTTGTTTAAGTTTATATTGAACTTAATTAAGTTGCCCACTGGGTTTGTTAAAAAATCCTTGTATCTGCTGATATTGAAAGTGATAAAATAAACTCTCGATCTCTCTCTCTCTCTCTCACTGGAGAAAGCACAGCATGCAATTTGAGGTCAATAAGTACACTGGTAAACGGGTCACTTAAAATACAATTATCACTCATGACCCCTGCAAACACAATGTTAACACTGCACAACGCTACAACACAATGTATATAGTGCAAGAATACGTTCAATTTCATGTACACACCTTGACCTAAACCAAAACCCAAAACTACGATTAATCCATACAGTCAACAGGAGCCGAGCCACCTTGCAAATGCAATGCATTAGCTGTTTGCTACAGATGGCCACGAATCTGTACGAATTCTGTCTCAGACATCGTGACGTGCCTCAAAGAGAGCCTCCGTAGACCAGTGGTTAGGCCTCGTACACTGTCCACAGAAGGCTGTGAGTTCAAACCCCGGCCGGGGCAGTCAATTTTCTCAAGGTGTAAAAACCTGGCTCTCAACATTGGAGACTGTGAATCTCCCGTGGCTCGATCGGATGACCACTTAAAATGGCAGTCCCGTCTCCAGTAATAGTAAGGCCAATGGGGATGTAAAAGAACCACTGAGGGTGCAAAAAAAACTCTGGCTGTACATGTGACCACCATCAGTGCCTTTCGGCTAAAAAGGCTAAACTACCTCAGTACCTGGCTTTACCCAAGCTAGGTCACACGCCATGGCTATAGCTATAGCCCGTTGCCTCGATGCCAAATTTGGATGGGGCCCAACGGGTTCAAGAATAGATAACATGGGTCACAAGTCAATAAAACATATGTCATTTACATCAATATAAATATAATATTATATCAATATAATAGGTTAGGGTTAGGGTTAGGGTTAGGCACATTGGTTTTATTTGGGACCCATGTTCTCTATCCTTGGGCCCTGCAACGTACTACAACAGAAACAGAAACAGAAACAGAAACAGAGCCAGTATCGACAAGGGAAGATGGTGGGAGCGTACGTACTATTAATTCGATTCCACGAGCGAGAAACAATGGCATGAAGTAACTGAGCTTGAAATCTACTCTAACTAATAAAAACAATAAGTATAATACTAATAGTAATAGCTCGTAGAACAGAATTAACGTCACGCCTAGGATAGGGAACAATTAAGCTCTATCACTGACTATCAGTCTATGCCGGTGGAATAGTCTAGAGAATGTAAACCGAGTGACTCACCTGTGTTTGCAGACAATGATCCTGCTTTCATGAATGCAACAATACCATCGATAGATTTCTTGCTACCATTCATCTTCCAGTTACCACCTACGAAAAATTTTCTGCCTGACATGTTGTTATTTTAATATAAGGGAGAAACCAAGGAGACGAGAGACGACGAAATCCAAGAAGACGACTTTCAACAGCGAACGCAGCGAGAGTGTGAGGGATCACTACGCTACCTAGCGACGTTTATTGTTAACAAAAATGGAAAAAAGCAGAGACGTATTAACAAGAGAACAGGTCACTATGACATAAAATTATGATCTACTCGCTAATCTCATATGCTAATCTGTAATATTTACATAATCGTTTATGATGTTATCAAACTGCAGCGTCATGCTTCTAGTAATTTCTCGAATTTGATGTGAAACAGCACGTAGATTATGCCAGATGGCATTAAAAACTTGAACAGTTACTGAGTTAGTTACTCAGATTCTGCAGTGTGTGAAAATGCCTTTAGCTTTACACATGTTGGCAATGGCAAGGATAATTCGTGGTTGTGGTAGTAGAAGACTGTCAATAGTTATTAGAAATAGTTGTACTAGTACTACTAGCAGGAGCGTCAGCGGCCTTTGGGACAGAAAGTCTACTTCTTTACCCGTTGGCCTCGCTACTAGTAGCAGTTTGACGAGGAATTTCCTGCATACTACGTTTCCAAATCATGAGGAAGACGAGGGAATATATGGTACCGGTAATCTGGACATGGAGCATATTGCTGTCCCTCGTGTCTTTAAAGGCAACGAGAGCGACTTTCCGTGCTTGTTGACGAAGTGAGTGAAAGTGCTTAGTCATGCTATGCATGTGTGCAATCCTAGTTATGTTACCCAGCCCTTATTTTCCCAAATGTACTAAACATCGTCCTATCCAATCACCGTCCTGGACATCATCTCTATCCTTGAGCCAAAAGGACTACGCGGCCAGGTGGAGAAGGAAGACTGAGAGGATGCAGAACAGGAAGCTAGGGAGTATAGATCTATAAGGTGAAACAGGGGGGGGTGTATACAGGAATACTATTACTACTACAAGGATGAAAGCAGTAGGTGTATGGGATTAAGAAGGAAAGACCCAATCCTAGTTTAGCACCCTGGATTAGTTTAGTTCTTTTCCACAGCAACAGAAAGAACAGTACCAGCTGAAAGGGTCTATGTGTTCCTGGATACAAAAACTGGTGACATACTACTATTATTAGCTGGGATACTTTAAGGGGTGGACACACTAGCCGATTTTTAATACTTAATACTTACTTAAAATCGGCTAGTGTGTCCAGTGTCCCGGTCGCAGTCGCGGTCGGTTTTCGAACCGGCCGGCTGAGCCGGCCGTATCAAACATGTTTGATCAATTTATTAGCTGGCCGGCTGCAATCACCTATTATGTCGCCGGTCGTCTGCGATTGAGCCGGCCCGATTGTACAATTCATCAGCCAATCAAATCACAATTAGTTGTCACGTGATTTAAAGGTAAAAATGGTGTTGACAGACACTTGGAGTCTATAGTAAAGGAGGCGGATTTACTTCTACTTTCTACGCCTATATGGCACCATCAACATACTGATGATTATGCCAACGGGAGGCGCTTAGTTGAGACTAAAATAAATTTTCCTTCCTTGAATTTTCTAAGAAAAAAAACCAAAAAAGCAAATTTTACTAAAAACTGCCCTGATGTCGTTTAGGCAGTAATCAGAGACTTAAAGGAACATAGATTTTCGGCTGTCACCACATCAGTGGTTTAAGGCGGTTCCACTCTGTAATAGACCTGGGAAAGAAGGAGCCTTTCTGTAGTCACATCTGCAGGAGGGATTTGAAAGAATACGTGCTCTGACATGTTCTGCGTGCTTCGAGTAGGTGGTATCAGACGGTTGTTGCGTATCAAGTTGCAGACATGCCCACACCATTACGATTTGGGCGTAATTATTACGATTTTGGTGTATTAATTACGCCATTACGCCTAAGATGCATCCATTATTACGACTTTTAGTAAATTTCAATAAATTACAAGGACACTCAGCTGCTTGGTTACCCGTAAAGGCCGCCGCACACCAGCCGATTTTTACAAACGTATGAAGCGATGAAGCGATGAAGCGATAAGCGATGAAGCGATGTAGGTGTGCGGCGCACACTACAGATAATTTCTTCAATATTTATCGCACACGATTTTCCTGAGGTCACGCGCACACCACAAAATCGCGTCCAAATAATCGTTTCAAAATCAAACATGTTTATTTTGGAACGATCACCCATAAAAATAAAAATCGATCTACAAATGAACGCGCACACCTACATCGTTTCATCGCTTCATCGCTTCATCGCCTTCATCGTTTGTAAAAATCGGCTGTGTGTGCGGTGGCCTTAAAGTGAGAATGAGAGCCATGGGTACCCCATGCTACAAGGCTAGTTCCTTCCAAGGATGTGTTGCGAAAGGCCAGAGTGCCTGCTACAACAAACTGATGTAGACACTGACAGAGGTTTCTGGTAGTGTGGTTTGTGCTTTAACAGAGAACTGAGATCTTTTGAATGTTTTATGACAGTTATCTAGTCAGTGTACTTGTTCAGCCAGAGAACTGTGAATCTTTGTGAAAGAGAGTTTGTAGTACACTAATGTACATTGTATAGTCATTTATTTCTTCAGCAAACTTTTCATTTATTTCTTCAGCAGATCTAGAGAACTGACACATTTTTGTGAAGTGTTTGTAGTACATGTATAGTCATTTTTTTGTTTAGCAGAGATCTGAGATATTTTGTGTCATTATGTCATCACTATTGAGTCAATAAGAAAGATAACATATCAGGGTATCCTCGATCCATTAATGTTCCCTATGATTGTGGGTGTATGCACAGATTTACTGTAATAAAATTTAGTTCTCGTTTGATAAATCTCTGAAATAATTCTTGATTTTCCCACTATTTTCAGGCAGAAAACATCATTTTGCCTAATTTAAAATCATTGCTGAAAGTGCACAGATGGCTTCCAGAATGCACACGAGCATCTAAGTTTCAAAATTTTCTTTGGGGAGGACCCCAAACCCCCTCAATGGGAGGGGGACACCCCCCTCCCATCCCACCCCCACAAACGCCTGTGGCGTTGTCAAAACCAGGAATTTAGAAATCATTACTCTTTGGCTTCATTGAATGTTGGCATGTCTGAAGTTGACCATGCCATTGACGAGCTTGTACATCATAGCCAAACGGGCAACCCTTCGTCTGACCAGCGTCGGCAGTGAGGGAGTGTTTCAAGCATGTCAGTAACACTCGACCTGTTGTGGTGGCGGTTTGAGACATATCTCGCTGCTCGTCTTTGGACCATTTCAAGATGTTTGCATTTTATTGTATTTAGTCATTTTATGGGAAGAAAACCCGTGCCTGTACGATGTGACATTACCGGAATATCGGGATAGGACCATGAAGGAGGCGGCTAAATCGAATATCGCGGAAAAACTGGGCATTACAGGTAAATGTCGATCAATAAGATAATATTATTACAGCTGATAGTGATAGTGATATATGGTCTATGTCTCCCTGGGTACTAACCTCATATAACCTCATAAATGTTAGTCTTCAAAAATCCTGGGACTATAACGAAGACGAGAGAGGAGTGGATCTTCTCGACTGCCGATCGTACCTAGCTCTAGTACTATAGCCGGCAAGCGGCAACTGTACGCGGGCTATAGTACTAGAGCTAGGTCGTACCCAGATCTACAGTTTGGCAATCTGTATAGTGTATACAGTATGTATCAGGTATACCATATATGACTAATAGATGACTGTAACTGTAGTCTGTATATCACTGTGTATGACAATATATGACTGTATGCAAGGCTCGACACTAACTTTTTTTTCAGTGGCCCGATCGGGCCACCAAAATCATTGATTTTCAATTTTTGGTGGCCCGAAAATGAAATCTGGTGGCCCGAAAAAAAACAAAGAAAACAAATCTTTATTTCAATCTCCATATTGTATATTATTTGAAATTGGGCGTCTTGCATGCCACTTGCACCAAAGTCTTTAAACAAACCCCACACAATGGCACACGCTGACATTGATGATTGAGGCATACATATGAATTATCCATTCCAATTTCCACGGCATCAAATTTTTCACAGCAGAATCTTGCATACCATTTTTTCCAATTTCACTCCATTATTTATCTAAACACGCGCGTGTTACACATGCTATCGATCAGTTCAGACTGTTCAAGAAGATGCGACGAGAGTCACAGAGCATGCAAATATTAAAACAAGTAACTCGTAATAAAACAAAAACACAATGGCTTTTCATGTTAAAATAAAACATATACATTTAAATCTAATGAACAGTTAAAATGTCTGCTAGGCTTGAACTGTAAATAATAAAATATTGCAGAATTAATAGATATAAAGTAAGAACCCTAATTATATCCAACAGTAGCCTGGGTGGGATACGCAGTTGCACTTTAAAAGAAAAAGAGGCCATGTCTAAGACTAAGTTTCAATATTTCGTTGCCGTAAAGAGACAGAGAAAATGCTTAAATAAACTTACAAAGCACTAATATTTAACACTTCGGATTAAAAAGTATGATCAGTCTCTCATTGGAATAGTAAGGTTCAGCTTATTCTAGGCAAACTTCGAACGCTGCAGTTGTCGGCTGCGGACCGAAACAGTGAGACACAGTGCAGCTAGCTAAGGCAATCAGGGTGACCAGACCTCCCGTATTTTGCCATGTGTCCCGCGTCCCGTACCGACCTTCCCGCGAGACGCATGTGTGTCGCCGTATTATTTAACATTTTGAACAAATATAGATCAATAAAGAGGAATAAATTCTCATCATTTTTTTATTATGGACAATTGTTTGCCTTTCAAAATCTCTCATCGCTACGGCGGTCATTGTTACATTACGCTTCCACAGTACTACTGCAGACAGGCGTATTGGTCTAGACGCATTGTCTGGTTTCGCTTGATACAATCGTAATCAGCACTGTATTCCCGCTTGCAAAATATGCTATGGCCTGAGCGCCCGCTCAGATTTGACTCGTGTAGACTGTGTTCGCGCCAGCGCACTGTTGCGTTCGCAGGCGTGTACACATTGTCTTAGCAGAGCGTGAGCCGGATATAGTCTAACACAATAACGTGGGCTTGTTGCAGCCCAGATAAGACGATCGTAAACTGTGCCGCGTGTTTGCCGTGTAGAATGCTGGCACGATGCGTACGTGTTGCCCCTCGCTCCGGCGAATTGCTCGGGCTCTCTTTGAATGGAGATTAGCAGCGGTAAGAACAAATTTTATTTATCACATAGGCAGACACTTTGAAATTGAGTGGCCCAGTGGACACCAAATTTTAACTTTTGGAAATTTGGAATGCCATCACATCAATTTGGTGGCCCGGGCCACTCGGGCCACCAACTATGCTCAGAGCCTGTGCTGTATGGTATACCAGACAGTTAGCATGGTACGTTCCCAGGACTGGCAGGAGTACCCAGGGAGACATAGACGCATGAGCAATATTGTTATTACAATTCAATTCAATTAAAATAAATTATTTGTCATAGACATACGTACAGGGCATTTCTGCCACGAAGCTGTTGTTTCATGATGCACCCCACGTATAAATGTAGGTGTCCGAATCCCCCTCTCTAGATAAATGAATGTCTTAGATGTCTCTAGATAAATGTCTAATGTCTAATGTCAGAATGTCTCTAGATAAATAAATGAATGAATGTTATCCACCATTTCGCCATCCGACCATTCTGCCAGCACATCTGCCATTGGATAATAACCGTACTTCTTTATAAATCAGACTAGATATTCATAAGTAGTCTCCGTCAGCACTAGAGTCAAATGCTCAATTCCACACATATTAATGTTTTGCAGTGAGTGACGTTGATAAGCGGATGAGGAGCTTGCGGACAATGCTTTCAAAAATCATGGCCGAACAGCCTAGTGGAAGCCGGCGCACAAATATATCAGCTAAAAAACAGTGGGTGGTGGAACACCTCCACTTTCTAAAGCCGCATATGGTAACATCAAAAGCGCAACATCACAATATTCAAGTACCCGCGTAAGTTAATACCACAAGAAAACTT